TTAAGTTCAATTAACATTATGATAAACTGTTGCTGAGTGTACCCGTGAAAGCATGGTTATTTTTCATGCTGACAGCTGTGCCATATTAAAAAATACCTTGATTATTTTGTCTCTAAAACCTGTCTTGGACAAATTGAATGTCTTGATTTTTTTCTTTTGGCTGTATTAGTGTCACGTTTTGACTTTATTGGCAGTTTGCAATTCTTTATTTTGAATAGGCCTAAACCATTCTTACTTTTCGTTATTGGCAAACACTTAACTCGGATGACTCAGTGTGATTTTAAGTGGGTTGAAATACCGTATTTTGCATCAAAACTCTTTTTAATGAAGTTTGGATAAGAGTGTCTTGTATTTGTTGTAGGCAGACTTTGTGAATTATGTTTGATTCTTCCATTGCAGTTTTCAGTAGCCAAAGGAAGGCCTGTGTTTGGGAATGCTGCAGCTGTGCTTAAAGAAGAAACAATTTAATGCTTTCTTCATTGGATCACACATTCTCAGAATGAACGTTTACTGGTCCAGGCTGTTCTTTGCAACCTGTCAGTTGGCATTTTTCAGCAATGTGATAATAGACCCACAGAATGGTTTGGGTTGGAAGGGACCTTAAAGGTCATCTAGTCCAACCCCCCTGCCATGGCCAGGGACACCTCCCACCAGACCAGGTTGCTCAAAGCCCCATCCAGCCTGGCCTTGAACACTGCCAGGGAGAGGCAGCCACAACTTCTCTGAGCAGCCTGTTCACCACCCTTGTAGTGAAGAATTTCTTCCTTACATACAATCTACACCTACCCTCTCTCAGTTTAAAACCATCGCCTCTTGTCCTGTCACTACAGGCTGTGGTATAAATTCTCTCTCTGTCTTTATTATAAGCCCCTTGTAAGTATTGAAAAGCCACAGTAGGGTCTCCCCAGAGCCTTCCCTTTTCCTGACTGAACAATCCCAACTCTCTCAGCCTTTCTTCATATATACGTGCTGCTTTTTCTTAAGATTCTTAGGTTGCTTAATACTGAAAACTTCTTATAAGCAAATTATCTCTGATATACAAAAGCTGTACTGTATATTTTGCTGTATTTCATGCTCCAAGAGTGGAATAATATTTCATACTCTTTCAGTGTATTTTATGCTAGCTTCTTAAAATATCTGTAGTCTGGCTTCTTGATGATAAAATAATACTGTGAAAAAAAATACAGTATCACTGTCACAGTTAATTAAATACAAAAATGTGTTAAAAAAACATGCTTTAAACTGCTTCTGTTTCAAATTCTACTTAACAGGAGCCCACCTGCTTGTTGTCCCCACATGGCTGCTGTCTCTGTTACTTCTCAGTGCAAACCCTTGGTTTCTCTCTTTCTGCCTGCCAGATGCTGGCGTTCAGCACCCAGGGGACAGCTTTGGAGCTGAAGCTGTAAAAAGGCTGTTCCTTTTGGGACAAGTCCTAAGTGCCGATGTGCACTGCCAAAGATCCTGCACCCCGTTTTAGGCTGGTACAAACCTTTCTCTGAGTGCTTGTAGACTTTTGTAGAATGGTCTTGAAATACTTTTTTTTTTTTTTTTTTTTTTCTCTTTTCTCTAATAGTTAGCTTTCCCTCAGTTAACATGGGTAACTGCATGTGATGCTGATGTAAGGGGACTGCGTTTCTTTTCTGTCCTGGTCCCTCGTCTGGGAGATCTCAGTAACAGAGTTGTCTGCCTTGTCCACGACTATTCTGTCTTCGTTAGGCTTCATTATATACGTTCTCAGTTTTCTTATGGTTACCCTTTTGCTTCATGGGGTGTTCACTCATAAATTAGCTCATCCTGGTGTATGCCACTCTTCTTCTGAAGGCAAGCATCCAGGCATGTTGCATGTGAAGCAGTGCTGGGTCTGAAGCCTTTTCTGGTCCAAGCTGGTTTTCTTATTATTTTTTGCTAATGAGCTGGTAAACCTTAATGCAGATGAAAGAGACAAACTTGTTTTTCAGTGGAGCCTGGACACTGCTGCCTTTGACGTGACCTCATGGTTTCTACAGGGTGTTTAATTGACACCTCCCCCTGGCAGCAGCATAATTGGGACAACTGGCAGCAGCAAATTTCCTCATAGTCTGTTTGCTTTTTGGGTTGTGAGAAATTAAATTCTCGAACTTTGAGCTGTTGTTTATAGCTGTCAAGAAGTGTGAAGGAGGAAAAGAACTTCTCACAGTAGATTGAAGTAAAAATTCCTCTGTGGGAAGTTTAGAGTAGCTTCCCTCACAGTGTCATGACAGTGAGTAAAGCCCTGGAGTCTGAGCATGCCACACAGTCTACAGTCAGCTGGTGATGCCAGGCTTTGTAAATTGAGGTTCACTTTCACCATATATTTATGCTTACACTGTAAGGTAATTTGGGCAGTGTTTCTCCTTCTTTGTAGTTAGATGGAGAGCCATCCATGGTTTGAACTGAATGTGGAGGGTGGATTAAGGGATCCCATTCCTGTGTAGTTGCTTAAAGAAGTAACTGGTATTTGCACTTTTTCCAGTAAGTAGGAGGGAGTAAGGACTTTCTACTGAACCTTATTGATGAGGTGGCAGCCTTGAATTTCTTGTCTGTGGTTCTTATGTTTAGCCTGTTCTTCAGTTTGCATGAGTTCTTTAGTAGGCATTAATGCATGATGCTCATGAGGGTGTCTGGCAGGACAAGGGATGTAATAGAGCTTACTAAAGGAGAAGGAAAAAGGATATGCAGAAAATACAGATGATGCTCGTGGTTTTAAAGTAGAAGATTGGAGGGGGTAACTAATGACTAGCCTGAATTTAGGGTAGAAAAACACCAGTGTATCCACACACAGTAGTAGGTTCAAATTACAAAGGTAAATTTTCTTGGCTGGGCATATACATTTTCAATTCTAGTATAAAACTTCATCTCCCTGTGCTACTGGTGTTTCTCTCAAATCTTATTGTGACCTCCTTTGGAATCGTTAAGGGACTAGTCATGTAATAGTCATGGGAGGTCTCAGGATAAGGCTTTTCAGCAGTTGTTCAAAGATGCATGTGATGTCCTTCATGATACAATACTAAGGTTATTAGTCTTGTATTTAAAGTCTGGAGCTCCGTTAATGACACCTTTGTTTTTCCTCATGTCTTTGGTGCAGTTAATAATGTTTAATTACTTTACTCCCAGTGTTCAGTGTTGAGAAACTCTGTGACCATGCAACATATTTTTCATAACTTTGTGCTTGTGTAACTTATTTATGATTTATTAAGCATGAGTGATTTATATTGAGTCTTGGATTATTAACACCAGTGTGCTGAAAAAGATTAGTTAGCTGAAAGGAGCTCTTTTTTATGTGGAATGCATATTAATTTTTTACTTTATTTTCACGTTTTGAACTTTCTCTTTCAGCTGTCAAACGTTTGATGAAAGAGGCTGCAGAACTGAAGGATCCTACAGATCATTATCATGCACAGCCTTTGGAGGTTTGTTTCTCTACCTGTTTGCAAGAGCTTGTAATTACACTGTATTATTAATCTATACTCTTAAGTTCTCTGTATGCGTATGTATTTAAAATGTACGTATTTAGATACTAGCAGACCTTTTAAAATTGATTCAGTTCTTTTTTTTTCCTGTGATGGAAATCAACAGCAGAATTCCACTTTAATGGTATTGTAGTTCCAGGTTGTTAGTGAAAGTACATAATAATCGGTAATTTTATCACACAGGTATAATATGTTTATTTGCCCTCCTGCTTCCTGAGACTACTTCAATGCATTATGTTTAAGTTAAGCTTTTTTACACCCAAACCTGACATCTGGCTCAGTTGCTGAGTTGCTCAACAAAACACTTAAGCCTAGGTCATCTAGGAGGATTCGCTGGTTTGCGTACCAAAAAAAAAAAAAGGTGAAAAACGTAAATGGGTGCAATTCTGGATTCATTGCAAGAGAGAATGCTTGGATTCTATTTAAATAGTAGCTTCATGAAGCCTTCTAAACACCCGGTTAAATTTTTGGGCTGAGAAGACTGTGAAGTTCTGCTGGTTAGAAGCTTAAATAGGAATCGCTTCTGGTTTCACTGGAATAATAAAAAAGGCAATGTCCCGTGGTATTCAGTTCGGGGGTTTGATTTAGCTGTTCACAGGAGCGCATAGCACACTTAGCATGCTTACAAAAAATAGCATGTTCCTAGGTGCTATAAAATATACCTTATTATTGACTAGTTTTTGTCTATACATTGTGTTTCCCCTTACTGTGGTGAAATGTAAGGTTTAATTCATGCTATTACTTGTAAGTTACATGAAGGTCTTATTTCTGGGATAGAACAGTGGCTCACTGGGAAGAGAACAGTGGCAGATGAAAGGAAATGCTGAAAATGTTGAGTTACCTCCCATCCTTCAAGAAACTGTAACTAGGTGGGCAGTCACAGCCCTGTGATACCAGTGTTCAGCATTAGTTGGGAAATCTTATTCACTGACAGCAAGCCTCATTTGGACTCCGGTCCTAACAGCAGTTGTTCTGCTTGTAAATATTCAGGAAGTTATGGACATCATGAGGTCTGATAAACAAAGCCAGATGCAGAACCCCCAAAAAATAATGCTTAAAGAGAAGTTATTTTTATGTCCAATGAAAATACCATTCCAAATTTCAAAGTGTACCTGTTGTGCAGTAGCTGTTTCAAACTTGTTTATGGAGAAGCAAAAGAGAATGGGAATTCTCTGGGGTGTGAGTCAAGTCCCTGCATTGGCTTGGGCATGGAAGGGACTTTGGGGAGGCTGTCATTAATGTTCATTCTTGGGATGGATCTCCCGTCAGTTCTACAGAAGTTTATTCACTGGGGCAAAGACCCAGTTTTCTGTTAGTTGACTCAGTTTTCCATCTGTTGGGTAATAAAACTTGTCATAATTGATACAAGAGTGAAGAGCTTGAATAATGAATTTGAGGGTTTCAACAAAGCCATTGTGTAAGAAAATTACCAGAAAGCTACAATATTTTATCCTTTTAACCAGAATCTTAGTACTGTGTTGGTTGTCTTACTCTTCGTTTGATTCTGGCTACTTCTGCTGTACACTGTTTCTTTAGCCTGTCCTTGTTCAAGAAGATGGTGTTTAGCTGTCTACTACTTTGACACACTTTTTTTTTTTTTTTTTTTTTTCCTTTTTCTTTCCTTCTCCCTTTGGTGGGGGCCTTTTAGGATAATCTTTTTGAATGGCACTTTACTGTTAGAGGCCCTCCAGATTCAGATTTCGATGGAGGGATTTATCATGGGCGAATAGTACTACCCCCTGAATATCCCATGAAACCACCCAGCATTATTTTGCTGACGGTAAGCATGTTTACTCGTTTTTCCTTTTTATGTGGTCAATTTAACCAAAGGTGTCCGAGAGAGACATTCTTTGCATTTAAGGTAATGTTATTTTTGTAAGAAAGTTGACATAGTACAGATAATGCTGCCAATTTAAGACCAGAAGTTTTCCAAGGTGACTTTGGTATTCTGTAATGAAGCTCTGCATCTAATAAATGGAAGTTTTCTCCAGGAGTTATGACGTTGCTGATGTGATTGTCTAACCTTCTGTTCTCTCCATGGGCCCCCTTGGTTTCTGATGGAGACATTGGTCACATGTAGGAAGGCAGACCTATGTTTTGGGGCAGAGACCCGCGTTTATAAATAGTTTTGTAGAGCTATAGCTCTTCAGGCTCTTGGTGTGTGGGGTACAGGAGCAACAGGCAAGCCACCAGGTCACACTGCGACATGTGGGGTATCGGTTAAGGGTTTCTTCATGCATGAATAGAGGCAGATGGCAGATTTCTTTGTTCAGAAAGCAGAATGCCGATTTTGTGAGGCTGGCAGTAATATAATTATCGAGTATTGTTTGCATATTGATTTGTTTGATAATGATTTTTACAACTTGTACCAAAACACAAGAGTTACCTTCCAACGTGTTTTATTATATCTTCATTCTTCCTTTGAAGGCCAATGGCAGGTTTGAAGTGGGGAAGAAAATTTGTTTAAGCATCTCAGGTCATCATCCTGAAACATGGCAGCCTTCATGGAGTAGTAAGTAACAATTATTTGGAAAATGTTACCCCATCAAGGAACTAGATCTTTAAATCTCACAAAGAATGTTTATAGCGGAAAAGGACACAGATTTTGAGGGAGGAAATGTATGGGAGAATTTGAGAAATGTGGAGTCACGAAAGTGACATGGGTGGATTTGGGAACAATATTAAATAAAAGCGGGGTGAAAGGGTTGAGAAACTGAGGGATGATGGTAAGGTCTTGTTTATTTGGATGCACAAGCATTAAGAGTTGTTGGACTACTTAGAATATTATTTGTTTTGGTTTTTAAATTGTTCTTATGAAAATACTTTAAATCCTATTATTTACCCTGTTTTTGTATAATCACTAAAACTAGCTTAAATATTGATAGAAGGCAGTGTAGTCAGCCTTTAATTTTGATGCTGTACTTCCAAACACTCAAGAGGAAAGACGATGTGATCTGAGTTCAGAATAACTGAATGTCTTCTACCTCCTTTTTTTTTTTTTTAAGTTTCATTATCACAGAAATTGAGAGTTGGCACAATTTGTCCAATTTCTGTGTTTATATAATTTTTAGTTTTGCTGAGTACGATACATCAGTTCTTTCTTTGGATATCAGTTGCACTTTTAAAATATGTTAAGATCTTAGGAACTTTCTAGCAGACCACTTCAACTTTTGTTAAGTCTCTTATCTTTTTTTTTTTTTAAAGAGTAGAAAATACTGTCTAAGTAGGAGGTATAAATACCCTCTTTTTTTGTAGTACTTGGCTTCACGTGATACTTATTTACCAATTCTGCTAGCAAAGTGTCTTGAACTCTTAAATTTCATGGCTATGTAAAACAAAATTGAAGGATAGACAAAAGAGATGTTTTGATGATAATTCTGTTATGAGCTGTTAGTAGTATTTAAGTAAGCTCCTTTTCCTTACTTCTTCCAAGTAAGCATGATGACATAAAAAGAACAAATTCTGTGGTACTTTGCATAAAAGAAAACCACTGACCTTGTGTGCACTAAATTGCAGAATTCATGTTTAATAGAAAACACACTCAAAAAGATGAATGCTTTGTGAATCCTCCTCTTCTTCCCTCCCTTCCCCCCCCCGTGTGTTAATTCTGCCTTACCTTTTTTTCTTCAGAAGTGATTTTTAAAGTCTGGAACTCTAATCTTTATATTGATGCAACATTTTTGTGACAATGTTTTTGTTCTCTGTGTTGGCTGAAGAAGAATAAGCCTTACCTTTCATTTATAATGTTTAAAAAATGAAGAAAATGGGCCAAAAAACCCAGTGCTGCTTGTATGAAATTCAGAATGTTCCTTTGGACAAAATGAAGTTTTGCAGGCAGAACTGCAACTTTTCTATACTGAGTGTAGAGCGAGATGAAATAAGAGTTGTTTCTGCAACCTTGTTCGTATCTCTGTTTTCCCGTTTTAGTAAGAACAGCTTTACTGGCCATTATTGGATTTATGCCAACCAAAGGTGAAGGAGCAATAGGATCTCTAGATTATACACCAGAAGAAAGAAGAGCTCTTGCAAAGAAGTAAGCACTAAGTTTGTTACTGTAGGTACATACATATGTACTCTCTTTGCAGTAGAAAGTAAATCAGTCTGTTCTCTTGCATTTATTCCAAATATAAAAAAAAGTTCTGTGCCTTATGTTTATATTTATTTTCCCTGAACATTGTGCAAACTCAGAACTTGTGGTCAAACAAAATACTTTGAGAGGGCTGTGTTCCTTCCAGCATTGTGTGGTCACATTAGAGGTTCATCCAAAATTCAGGCTTAGAAATGTAATTAACATTGTGATACAGTGGTAGTTGCGGCGTGAAGGGAAAACAAGTGTGACTGAATTGGTAGTAAGTGTAAGTGGGGGAGAAAACAACCAAAACAATGATGGATCATTTCCCTTAAGTAAAAAATAATAGTGAAATAATGACAAAATTCTGAAGCAACTGCTTCTGAATGATTTTTAGGAAGCTAACTTAAAATTAGATTTGTAACTATGATGAAATTATCAGCTTAGTGGACAAGGGGAAAGCAGTGGATGTTGTTTATCTTGACTTTAGCAAGGCTTTTGGAGCTGTCTTCCTTACCATCCTCACAGAGAAACTCAGTAAGTACAGCCTGGGTAAGTGGGGACAGTAAGGTGGATTAAGAACTGGGTGAGCTGCCTGGCTCAAAGGATTGTGGTAAGCAGCACAAAGTCCAGCTTGCAGCTGGCATACTCCAGGGGTCGATACTGGGGCCAGTGCTATTCAGGGTCATTAATGACCTGGGTGATGGGGCAGAGTGCATCCTCGGCAAGTTTGCAGACGATACAAAACTGGGAGGAGTGGCTGAAGGTTGTGCTGCCATCCAGGGGAACCTCAGGTGGATGGAATCTCATCAAGTTCAACAAAGAGAAAAGCAAAGTCCCCTGAGGAGGAATAATGCTGGAGGGGGAGGGGAGGACCTGGGGGTCCTGGTGGACACCAAACTGATCATGAGGCAGCAATGTGCCCTTGCAGCAAAGGCCGCTGATGGTGTCCTGGGCTGCGTTAGGAAGAGCACTGCCAGCAGGTTGAAGGAAGTGATCCTTCTTCTGTACTCGGCAACTGGTGTGAGACATCTGGAGTGCTGGGTCCAGGTCAGGGCTGTGTCCAGGTGAGCATACAAGAAAGATATGGACTTACTGGAGCGAATCCAGTGCAGTGCCACAAAGGAGGAGGTAGAACATGTTTCATACAAGGAGATGCTAAGAGAGCTGAGAGTGTTGAGCCTCGAGAAGAGAAGGCTCAGGGGATCTTATCCACGTGAACAAATACCTGAAAGGAGAATGTAAAGAAGGCAGAGCCAGGCTCTTCTGAGTGGCATCCAGTGACAGAACAAGACACAATGGGCACAAACTGAAACCCACAAAATTCAACATGAATGTCAGAAAACAGGTTTTTATCGTGAAGATGGTCAAAGCACTAGCACAGATTGACCAGAGGGGTGGTGGAGTCTCTATCCTTGGAGGTATTAAAAATCTTACTGGAAACAGACCTGAGCAACGTGCTTTGCTTGACCCTGCTTTGAGCAAGGAGACTGGACTAAATGATCTCCAGAGGTCCCTCTCAATCTCGGCTGTTCTGTGATTATGCTGAAATGAAATCTTATACCTGTGGGGTTTTTTTCGGTCTTTCTCCTTTCCCCTTCTGGGGAGGAGAAGGTACTTGAAAGACCATATTCCTATCTTACAAGCAAAATTACTGTATTCCAGTTTGTAACTAGTACCTTACTTTGCAGACAGATGTGAGCTTATTCTGCCTGTACTCTGAGCCAATTGGAAGCTGCAACTTTCCTGTCAGCATGGCACTGAGTCAAAGCTAATAAACCCTGCTGAGGGGTGGGGTTTGGTGGGTTGGTGTTGATACTGTGCTCTCAAGGCTGTGCGGTTTCTCACTGGCTTGGACAGCTGCCTGCAGCATACACTACAGGCAGATTATGCGTGCAAGAGAGGAAAGGTAATACTCTCGCAGAAGCTGAAATTCCTGGGTTTGAAGTGCAATCTTCTGGGTCCAATTTGGTATTTGTAATAATAGTTAGACCTTTATAATTTTAATTTGCTGCAGATGTAAAGTAAGATGTAAAATGGTGACAATTTATTAATATAGTATAGATAATAAGCAATATGCAAGTCAGTTGTTAGTATTTTCCTAAATGACGTGAAGGAACATGTGTTTGTGGTATACATAATTCTCAACATATTTTTTCAAGGTAGTGTGATTTGGGGTGGGGGGAAGTACTTTTATGCTACTGGTCTTGACGCTACTTGTCTTTCTGTGGATTGTTTTGCAAATAACTTTTTTTGGTTTTTTTTAAAATAAGCACACAAGAACATTTTGGGAAAATGCTATTCTGAGTTATGTCGTTTGTGGCCAGGTCACAAGACTTCTGTTGTGAAATGTGTGGCACAGCTATGAAGACAGCCCTGTTACCACTAACATCCGGAAGTGTGTCAAGCCAGGCGGACAAGGAGGCTAAAGAGCTTGCCAGACAAATTAGCTTCAAGGTGAAGTCACTGTTTAAACTTACATCTCTGTTGTATAGAATTACAAAAAAAAAAGTACTGAGGAAAAACTTGTAAATTGCAGAAACATTCATCATTTCATCAACCGTCATCAATTGCTATGTGGAAACCTGTGTTTTAGGACAGCCTGAAAGAGAAAAATAGGAGTGGGTCTCTGGCAATGTGCCAATTAATAAATTGAGCATCTCAAGCACTGATTAGTTTTAATTTCAGTGGTGAGCAATGTGATAAGAACTGCCTAACTATGTTGCTTTTACTTCCGTGTTTTCAGTCACTAATAACTTGATGAAGTTCTTCAGAATTAGTCTTATGATAGAAGTGTCAGGAAAGTTTGGGCAAAGCTAACCTAAACATTTTTCCTTTGTGATTTTTTTTTTTTTTTCTTCTTTTGGCTTATGGAAGGAATAAAACATATTCCTACTGAAAAGTGGTTGCAAATTGTTTTGAACTACTCTGCAGCTGAAGATACTGAAAGTTGAACTCTGGTATGGAAGTTGCTGTTACTCAAAAATGTGTTCTCTAGCTTGTGTTTCAGTGAAAGTAAGGTTTGTTTAGCCACATACTTGCCTTAGAAAATTGCATGTGTTGCATGCACAGTGTTGTTTTTCACTGGGTTTTCCACTAAACTCTTAAATCGGCCACTGAGAAAGACTGATGTGCATGAGGGCAGGGAACTACAGTGAAATATATTATGACAAAGTGGCATTGGTGCAGAACACATCCTTACTAAGGTCAGGGATGCTAATATGTCCCCTTTTATCACCAATGTTCTCCTAACACTGTCCTAAAGACTACTTTTTTTTTTTTTTTGGTGTTTCACGAGGGTAAAGAGTGCCTTCTACTGAGTATTACTGCCAGTTTTGCAGAACTTGTATATTCCTGTGTGATCACGCATCTGGACGTATTGACATGGTTGGGTCTGTGTGTAATAATGCTTATGAAAAAACATCTCAAAATATTTTACAAAGCTGAGGAGATACAGGGACAGGGTTTTAAAGCTGAGCTACTCGGAGAAGCAGTGGACTGCCTGCTCCTGGCTTTTTTGCAATATATAAGGGTTAAAAAGTGTAGGATTAATTTTTATATAATAATTGGTAATCTTCATCACAGAAATTTTTGAAAAATCAGAGTATAATTTTTTTTTTTTTTTGAAAGAACTCTTAGCTTACATTTCATACCTTTTTCAGTTGTAAAATGAAAGACTTAGGGTCAACAGTCTCGAAAGAATGTTGGTGCGTTCCATGTATCCACATACTTAACTCCACCTCCTGAGAATAAACACTCAGCAAGGGAAAAATGTACAAAAGCCTCAGGTTTCTACAGCCTTTTACAATCCATTGTGGGTTTTTTACAAGGTAAATCAGTTCTGTCCTCTGGTTGCGCCTTCCCTCCCTTTCTCAAATAAAAATTTAGGGATTGGGGTTGTTTCTAAGCTTTCTGCTTCTCTGCTTTGCTTGACTTTGTTATTGTTTGTTTGATGTTAGGCTGAGGCATTTGATTGATGTGTTTGTAGTAAACTAATAATATGAAGTACTAGCAGGGAATACAAAAATTTTTAATCGTTTGAGTATATTCCTCGTCAATTTATGGGGTAAGATTTAACATCAGATTGCTGATTGAGCATGTGATTTGACAGAGCCTCTCTGCTAGCAAATGTGCTAGCAATCTCTGCTTTATCTTGATCTTTAAAAAAGAGATTTCCTGACTTTTTCTAGATAGTCCTGGGATTATAAGACATTATTTCATACCAGCCCTAAGCAAAATGGTAACTTCTAAAAAAAAAACCAAACTAACCCCTTGTGTGGTATTGAGAAAGGAATATGAAATTCAGGAGAAAAAATAACAAACCACACTTCCTCATTACAGTTTTCCTGCTTCTGTGAGCCTTCACCTTCGTTCCTGTCTGGTTTAATACAAAATTACATTTATTTATTTTTTTTAATCAGCTTTTCATTGACTTGCAAATTGTTTTGTGCATTTTAGGTGCTATATACCATAAATTCCATTCCACTTAAAAAGAGAAAAGATAGATGACTAATAACATATGCATTACTGTAAAATAATATGGTTTATCTACGGATTGCCATCACAAGGCATATTTTGCAGTAAAATTAATTCCCCGCTCACCCTCATTATCATGTTTAAATATGTTGATCTTCTTTCCTTGAGGTGTATGTTCTCTCCAGCTTTTCTGGGAGCGGAGGTAAGGGTTGAAGAAAAGTGAGACTAGGTGACAAAAAAGATATTTCAGTTTTGGAAACTTTCAGGTGCTTTCTTTTTTTTGAATGTTAGTTTGACTTCAGTCTAGCATACTAGATGTAATAGTTTTGTAAACTAAAATAAATCAAATCCACATTTTGTAGTGTATGTGCCTTATAGAGATTAACAGTAAAGAATAAATGAGCTCTTCTTGGAAAAGCAGAAGTATGAAAAGCAGTGGTCACAGCTTCCAGGAAAGGAACTTACAACTGGATATGGGAAAGGGAAATTCACCCTGCGGGTTGTCCGATGCTGGGGCAGGCTACCCAGAGAGGCTGTGGAATCTCCAGCTTTGGAGATGCTCAAAGCTTGACTGAACATGACTCTACTTTGAGGGAGGGAGTTGGACCAGGTGACATCTAGAGGTCCATCCCAGCCTAAGTTATTTGTAATCCTCTGTTACTGCTTTGCTGGCTTGTATTTTGAGTCGTAATTTGTCCTATCTAGTGTTAGAGTTCATAGTAGTCAAGTGCAAAAGGAAAGCAGTCTTGTCAGATTGTAAGTGTTTGTAAATCTTAAATTAATTCAGGTTGTTTCAGTGACGTTTTTCACATTCTCCTGAGGTAATATACATCAAGAAACAGGGAATTCAGTTTCCTCACACAAAATAGTGCCATGAAAGAATATTATTATCTTGTGATCTTATCAGCTTGTTATCACTGTAACTGGTTGGTTTCTAATGCACTGTTTGTATTTCTTACTACTACTACCACTACTTATAGCTGCATTTGAAGACAGGTATTAGATTTAGAATTGTCATCTTGGAATAAATTGAGATCTAGATACATGGCTTGGGAGGCGACTTGCTTGCTGATAAAAATTGATCTGATCATGACTTCTTTTTTTTTTTTTTTTTTGATATGTATAAAATTTAAAGTGTTGCAGTTCAGGGCTATGGTGCTATTTTTTCCCATTCCCGAGGGATTATTGCAGGCATATATACTGTTTTAACAAGAGGTTTGTTCATGATCTACATGTCACTACTGATCTCTTGTCTCAAATTTCCAAAAGCATGAAACCTAAATTCCGGGAATTGATTCTTCTTAGATATTTTATAAATACATACAAAAGCGGTATTATAAGACTTGTAGTTTTTTCTTCTGTTGTGCTTGTGCTGAAATTTAAATACTTGGAACTGAGGTATGCGTGCCTGACGCAGTGTCGTGCCATGCATATATGCCCACTCTAGCTGTGAGGCAGCTTCGGCACTAGAACCAGTATAGCCACATTAAATGAGCACTTACTGGAGGCTAGTTAGCCCTGCTGAGAAACAGGCTGTATTAGTTCACTTGTGACAACAGTAGTCAGCATTCACTTAATGACATGAGAAACAGAAGTTTTAAAAAATGGTGTTATTTCTGGCATAATATTGACCTGGATCTTCTAAAGAATTTTCTCTTTTGTGCTATACGTCTGTGCATTTCTTGAATGATATACCTGTTATGTGCAAACAAACTTAAAATTGTTTTTTAAACTGATCTTTGCACGTCTGTAGTCTTATTTCTAAAGAATGGGAACTTCTTAAACCTGTTGATGTGCAATTGAAATGCAGTTGGCATACTTGATTATTACATTTTAGCAAGTCGCATCTCCATACATTAAAATACACGTTCCAAAATAAGCCAAATCTTTTTGGAGAAATTTTGATCTTGTTTCTGAAGCGTACACATGTACTCCTTGTAGGCAGAAGTCAATTCATCGAGGAGGTCTGATGCTGGACCATCAAACACGTCAGGATTGAACCACTCTGCTGCTTCACGTGAGCCCCAGCAGGATGGTGCAGCTAGAGCATTCCAGGATCCAAAAAGTGCAACGGTATGGACCATCTTTGGGCTTTGTCGGTGCAAGTACAGGCATAGTCTGAACATGAAATGGGTACAGTTAAGCTGATTGGAGACTTCATTGGGAGTATGTAGTTGATACATTTCTTCTAGAACTTCTGCTTACTTTTATATAAAATCTATGTGCAAACTTTAGCAAATAGCATGCTGAATCACTTTGATAAATAGTGACCTCTTTTATTTAGTTTCCTTCTTTTAGAAACAATAAATAATGTTCTTTTAGCAATTCTTGTTCCCAGTAGTTCCTTTAATATACAGGTTAAAAGTTCATTAAAATATTATGATGTCTGAATTACTACAATTTACCATCTGCATAATATGTCACAGGTTTCTGCGATAGAATTCTTAGCCAGAGGCAAAAACTGTTTCAGTGATAATTTGTAGTTTTAAAATATTAATTAAGGATAAGGATATCTTCCTTTTTTTATAACCTCCTAAGTAAATCTGACTAAAATATTCTTACCATTTGAAGTATGACACTTATGTTTTAATACTGCTAGCTGTAGGGCTTACATAATGGTTTCAGAAGTGACCGAGGCCTGGTGGTGGGCCAAGGCAGCTGCTGTTGTGGCTGTGGCAAATGCAATCTAAAATCACTGATAAATTGCAGGCAAATCCCAGCTAAGCTGTCTTTTTTAGAGAGGATGGGGCTGCAGATCATTTAAAAAACCTAAAACACGTCAATAACATCAGACCATCTGTTGTGTGTTTGCAACATATTTTCAAGCTATGTAGAAATATAAACATGCTAATAGCATACTTTTTTCCCCACAATAAGGATTTTTCCAGATTTTTCAGGATTTAATAAACCATTTTATTCTTCTTATTACAAATCCTGGCTAATATAGTAGAACTAGCCAAAATACCAAGGCACTGCTACCATTTTCTTGAGGAAAAAGAGGATGATTTCTTTTTTTTTTTTTTTTACTAATTCCCATTTCTAAGAAATTTGTTTTAATCAATTATGCTGATTTAGTAAGTAATGATTAACTTAATTTTCAGCAGAACAGGCCAATGTAAAATGAGACCTTTAAACATATAAATATTTTTACATACATTTATATGTGATAAACTGTAAATGATGAAAAGTGGATTCATGTTTTAAGGGATCAGATTGTCACACTCATGATAGTTTGAGTTTGAAGCAATACCTCTTTCTGAGCTGCCACATTTTGAGTGTTAGGAATTTTCTAGAGCCATGGGGGAGTGAAAATACAGGGGAAGAAAGAAACGTGTAACAGGAAAACTATTTTAAAGAATTTGAGCTTGCTATTTTTGTATTGTTATTCATGCAAAAGTTAATAGAAGTCTTTACAAAGTAGGGGGCTGGAGGTCTTGATCTTGAACAGGTGTCAAAGAGTATCCATGCAAACCTCAGACCTTTTCTACTCATCTGGGCTTCTTGTATGCATAAAATCAGTTTGTTGGGTTAATTCCTGTTGTGTAAAGACCTACTTCTGCCTTACTAAGTTGTAAGCGTTAGATGTGGGCAACATAAAACTAATTTTTTTTTCTCTTCTTGGATAAAAAGTTTACCACTTTACAAATGTGTGTTTAATTAAAAGCTATGGTAGAAAATTTGCTGTTGTGAACTTGAAATTTATGCCCTTTGAGAATAAAAAGGACAGAGGTAGACCCAATGCTGAATCTTTGTATTAGCTTGTGTAATTCCTTCTGGTATAGTAGATTCAACGTGCCTAACTCTGAAGTCATGGGACCTTACGTCCTGCTGCGTAATACAGAGGAAAAAAATCGCAGTAAACATGCAGGAAGAATGGAGTGTTACCTTTCTTCTGCTTTTGGAACAGTTGTAACCAATCTTCATTAAAAACATGATGGTTAATAGGTGCTAAGGAAAGGGTCTACCTGTAGGTGGAGAGGAGGGAATCTGTAGGCTATGTTTTACTACAGGAAAACCAATCTACAGGCTGCTTCATGGGCGAGTTTGTTCTTTCCAGCAACAATTGTCTATTCCACGATTTTTACCTTAAAGCTGCTTGAAAAGACAGAGTTTTGCAATGAATTAATGACAGGACACTTGTGATACAGTGATGCCCTTTGTGGGATAGGTTTAACTGAGTTCTTACGTGAAGAGCACGCTGAAATGGGTGGCATTCCTTTGAGTCACTTCCCCCTGTTCCATGTGGGGCCTTACTCCCAAAGAGGTAGTTTCTCCTTCCATCAGAAGAAAAGATATTTTGAATTAAGTTTGCCTTCTGTCAGCTTTCACTTAGAGAAAGGACTGACTAAAGAAGCAGCAAGACCTACAGTGTTTGTTAAGCGTATCTTTTTCAGATTTTGAAACTCAATTTGAACTAATAGTTTGTGTTTTAGTAATGGCAATTGTTGTGTTGACAGCAATGCTGTCATAGCGTGAACTGTTGCGTTACTCAGTACTTTAGTCTTATGGATTTTTGCTTGTGAAGAAACTTACTGTGTGGTGTGATTGTTGCATGGGTGCACTATGCTGTTGGAGAGGTGCACTCAGTGTTCTTGACAAGGTCAGGCAGGGAGACCCCAAAAGACTTCTAGGTCACTTCCTTCCCTCCGCACCTTCTCTCGTCATTTTGCCAGACCAGCAGTCAGTATCTTGATGCCACGCTTGAAATTACTACAGTGTCCACTTCAGTCTGCTCTCTAGCAGAGGACTAAATACCTTCCCAGTGCCATGTTGAATATGTATTTCCTGAGTTCCTGCTGTTTGAAAAGCAGACAGAGGGGTAGAGGTTGTCTCTCCAGTGGAGAACGTGGTGACGATGAAGATGACTTTTTGCCATGCTTTTCACCTAGGTCTGTGTGCTTTTCATCAAGATCTGCTCATTGATTGGTCCCGTTCATGGCCGTGTTAGCAATGACTGAAGTGTGCAACACTAGTGCAAATGTTGCACGTTGGCTGTTAAAATTTTGTGCACCTGTATTATTAGAGAATATTTATCAAGTATTTAAATTACTTTTCTTTGAATGAAGAAAAAGGAGGGGAGTGGGATGATTCTCACCAGTGATAGTTGCTTCCCAGGAGAACTTGTCGTAATGTTATCAAGTTTTGCAGGTGCAAGGCAATGAGTACAACTGCATGAGAATAATAAAAGGAACGGTGCTGCTGTGGAGGCTCTGGCAAATGCTGTCGCAGCAGGTTGGGTAAAAGGATACAGAGCTGCGAAGAACGGGCTTTAAGCATTGTTAAGGCTAAAACAATAGGCTACCTAAAGCATCATGCAGCGTAGTATAGAACAGAATCATGGAATCATTTAGGTTGGAAGCCAGTGCAGAAAACACCTCTGACTAGACTACTTCTAACAATATATGTACGTGTTTTTATTTATTTGCTTTTAATTTGTGGTAGCTGTTGATGTCTGCTCAGGGCAAAGTATCCGAATTGCAAGCAAGGTACTGCTGAAAGTTTGCTTCATAAAAATAATTGCCCTTAGCATTAAGAAAATCAGATTCTTCAACATCTGAGCAAACAAATGTTTTTGAATTAATATATTGTAGATACTCAGGTTGGATCCTGATCCAGATTAAGTCACCTACTAAGCCAGTGGTCAACAAAGTGTTGATACCAAAACTGTCATCACAGTCATGGGACTTGTTAGTGGAGGTTAGAGAGCACTGCAGCTTACTGAGAAACAGAGGCTGGAAGGCTGCATTGCTCTGTCTGTCCCTCTGATTGCACTGACTAAATCCATGTGGACTATTCTGGGAGTCTGAACTCCTACCAGGAGGAATCAGTGTTTGGTGTATTGACGTGGGATGATGTCCCACCTTGGTGCTTACAGTTGATGTGTAAAGTTGATACTTGATAAGAATTATAAAGCAACAAGCTGAAAACTGTGCTTAGACTTTTTTCTGGTAACTTGGGAATATATTAAACCTCAGTACCCCTGTTATTAAACAATATACTCTAGTAGTATCTTGTGCTAACATGCTGGCTGGATGAAGCGTTGTAGTGAGGAGTGGTGAAATAAACAGTGTAACTGAAGTCAGCTAATCTTGAGCTGATTAGGAAGGTTTCTGTGAGAAAATGAGGTGATGTTCTGGCACGTGAGATTTATAGAAGCCCTTATTTTTAATCATATGTTCTGAATGATATATTGTTAAAAAGTGTTTTGTCACTATTAAGTGGTGTCTTACATTCTGTAATACTACAGCAACAATTTAAAATGTCTTGGGAATCAGAAGTACTTGGCCCAACTTTGATTCATTAAAAAATAGACGTGTTTCTTATTAGCCTTTAAACCATGCTGTGTCAAACTTCAGCTGCTTTTTGGTGGGAAGTTACATGGACAAACAAGTATTTCACCTATCCTTATATCTTTTTATTTCTCTATCTCTCACATTATAGAATCACAGAATGCATAGAAAGGCCATCTAGTCCAACCCCCCTAAAATAAGCAGGGATATTTCTAACTAGGTTAGGTTGTTCAGAGCCCCATCAAGTCTGACCTTGAATGTCTCCAGGGATGGGGCTTCCGCTACCTCTGTGGGCAACCTCTTGCAGTGATCCACCACCCTCAGATTAAAGAACTTTTTCCTAATGGCCAACCTAAATCTACCCTTTTCTAGCTTAAAACCTTACCGCTTGTCCAGTTGCTACAAACCCTTGCAAACAGTTCTTCCCCTGCCTTCTCATAGGCCCCTTTCAGGTTTTGGAAAGTCGCTATAAGGTCCCCCTGGAACCTTCTCTTCTCCAGGCTGAACAACCCCAACATGAGTATCGTGAGTATAACTAAAAGAAGCTTCAGTAACCCAGAGGATTTATATGGTTCTGAGTTCTTAGTTTGCTATATTCTTTAAAACATCCCTTCCAAGATGGATTATTTAATACTTCCAGCATTCTGATAAAAAATTTTAAAATAATGGCCTGGAGACATACGTGATGCAGTGAATGCTACCGTTCTTCAGTAGACTGAACATAGCGTAAATTTCCTTACTTGCATTTTGTTACATGTTAGAACTTTTTCTTAATTCTAGTACATGTACATTTTACTGAACTAGCCTTATTCATCAAACTCGGGTGTCCTTACAGCTAAGTTTTCTATTAGTCCTAAAAGTTTCAGAAGCTTCAGAAGTAATACGATGCATAAAGTCCATATTCAATGACTGTAAAGATCAGATGCGGAAGGTGGCTACAATGTCCTTCTAATTAAATATTTTTATTTTTAGTCTATTAAGCCCTCATCCCCAGTGTTTCCCGTATGGTTTGGCAGAAAATGAATTAAAATTGGATGGAAATTGTGTCATGTGAAGTGTTAAGGAGAAATTAAAAACTTGCTGTGGGTGAACACAAGAAGATTGTGGGTTTATTTTTTTTTAATTTATAATAGAGCCTATCTGCCATTTTTGGGATTCTTAGTAATGAAGTCTTCAAACAGAAAAAAATCTTTATCTAGTTGTATATGTTAGTTAAGATACACCAGCATCTGGTCCCAAATTTATATTGGGTAATGATCACTCCTTCCTTATCTTACCTCGCTTCTGCATGTCTGATAATACTTGGTCATTCGTTATGTTGGGAATCCCAAGGCAGTGGATTAGCTCAGCTTTGGGTGAAGCACTCGATCACATTCAGTTTTCTGCTGCCCTGATGCATCTGTATAATTTCCTCAAAAAAAAAAAATTTGAAGCCTTAAAATTGTCGGTGATGTTTCTCTTGAATTACAGCTCTGTTCGTGTCAGTGTATGGCACCTTGTCTCATTCAGAACGGGGTCTTTGTTTTATTTTTAGATTAAAAATTTGCAGTGTTGGAGAGAAACCCAGGTTTGGTTGGTTAGTGTGACAGCTAGGGGTAGTTACTAAGTATAAAAGGTCAGGAATATTTCTAGAGTCACCCCTGTCACCCCCCCCCGGCTTTTTAAAAGCTACTGTAGGAAGAATAGCACTTTGCCTACTGAATTTGCAGTTCTTGCTTTGTGAGTTCACTTTTCTCCCTCTCCCTTTCTGTGAAACATGGGAGTGTAGATGAATCTAGGGACTTCATTTTCAAAGGCTTGGCTTCCCTAAGTCTTTGTTTTCCTTGGCATGAGGATCTGTCAGGTGGGTTCAATATGAAGCAGAATGACTTTCTTCTGCAGTATGGTGGAAATCATGGCAAGGTGCTCGTGGTGTTCTTGGCTGTCTCTGCTGATAAAATAAATGTTTTAAAAACACTTTTCTTTGAAGCTACCCAGGCTGCTTGCTTGCTTAGGCAAGAAACCTGTGTAAACAGGGAAGTTGTCAAATGTGGCGAGTAATTAATTACATCAGTATTTCCTTGTCATAAACAGTGGTAAATACTAATGATGAGGAGGGAAACAAAGGTCTCTTCTCTGGGCTAGTCAAATCACTGACTAGGAGAAAATTTTTGGAATTCTTCTCCCACATGCAGAATATGCAGCCAAAGAGTCACGAGACCAAGTGCTACTTACGGTCTTATGGACCATCAAACCTGATCCACAGCTGATGACATTCCCTATCTGGCCATTTTGTGGATATAGTAGCTGGCCAGAACAGTGCTTAGGGTTATGGATATCATGTCCATGAAAAGGCTTTTGCTTGGAAGCAAACATAGAATGTCCAGAATTCTAGTTTTACCTGCTGTAATGATAATCAGACTTTTAGAAGAAGGGGGGGAAACAACTACCTCTGGAAAATAGCTGCAGGTCGCTTTAAGCGGGAGTACCTGCGAACTGTTCGGAGAAGTGAAAAGAAGACTTTAAAAAACTGCAACTTTTTGTCAGAGCTACTTTTTTTTTTTTTTTTAAACACACTTTAAAACTGAACCTTGTCAAAATGCTTTTGAACAACTGTGCCGTGTCACTATTTTTAATATTAAAACGTTGGAAGTTTGAGCCTTTTAATATTGCAAGCAGGATTAGGCCAGTGGAATATCAGAACCCGTAGTTTCAATCTTACAAACTGAAAAAGTAGTTTCTTTAGAATAATATCTTTCCTGAGCTGAACGTCAGTTGCCAATGTTTATTTTCTTGCTACATATAATGGTAGACCAACGTTTGACCAGTAGAGGGCAATAGGTATGTGCATGCGTAAGTACAGTGCTCAATGATTCGTGCTGGAACCACTTAGGTATTTTGTGTTCAGGACTTTTGTCTTGTTTTTCCCAGTGTTGTTGGTGGTGGTGAGAGCAGACTTTTGAACCCAGCTGTCCACTGGAAGCAGTGCAGCGTTGCTTAATTACACTTCTCTGGACTTCTCTCCTTCCTTTCTTGCCCTCCCCAACTTGTTTCCCCTTCAGTATAGGTGACATAACAAATCTTCAGAGGCTTAACTACCTGGAGGATTATTAAAGATTTCTTGAACTGCAAAGAGTTAAGCAAATCCTAGACAAAGGTATTTTAAATCTTTTGATTCGTAACCAGTCTAGAATTTAAATGTTGTTTGACGGACTTTCTTGAGACTTTTATTGTCCTTAGAACGGCTAATTTGCAGCTTGAAATAAGACTTCTTCTCAAGGTAGCGAATGGACAAAAATGACGGCTGTAACAATCTCATAATTAGTAGCAACATGTATTATCAGACTTTCAAGTATCAACAATTGTCTGAAGAGTACATTGTAGTCCTAATGATTTTTTTCCTTGCTAATCTTACGCACTGTCTGGCCTCACAACTCTCCACGTTGCCTTTTCAGTCTGAAGCCCAGACTAGCAGTGCAGCGGCCAGTCAAGAGCATGCTCCACCTGTGCCCACCAACACGTCCATGAGTCCTCGGCAGCGCCGTGCCCAGCAGCAGAGCCAGAGGCGGGCCCCGTCTTCAACTGACTTTAATCGGGTCCAGCAACCCAGAGTCAACATGAACCACACTGGATCCACCGTTCTGATTGTCCTTCTGACTTTTGCATTGGCAGCTCTTATATTCCGTCGAATATGTTTGGCTAATGAGTATATGTTTGAGTTATAAGGTGGTTTGTCGTGACAGCAGTGGCTTGAATGCTTCACTGAACATTCTGTGTTGGGTATGACATGAGAACTGTTTACAAAGGTTACTTTTTGTATTTACGCTTAAATCCTTATGAATGTTAATGCGCCTGCAGATACATTTTACTGGTAAGAAAAGCAAAGTTGGCCAGTTAACTACAAGAAGCGTTGAGTGCCCACTAGATACTTCGAGAAACAGAGCAGTGGAGTAGTAATATTAAGGCATGTGGGAGGGGAGTCAGCTTGAGTAATTTATCAGTTAGAAAAAGGCAGTTTAAAAAAAGTGGTTGATTTACTTTTTTATGGAACATAAATGCAATTAATCAACCCATCTAAGTTAGTGCAAGATTTGACATTGGAGAAGTAATTATGAAATGAAACACTACTGTGTGTTTGTGTCCAGTGAACTCTTAATTTAGAAAGGATACGGTTTTGTAACCACTTTTATTTACCATGACACATTTCTAGAAGGGGAACACATACGAATAGGTTGTGATGCTGCTTTGTGTGTGTGATAGCGGGGAAGGAGTAGTGGAAGAAAGAAGGGGCCAGAAAACTACTTGCGTGGTTTTTGGGTTTGTTTTTGGCGGGGGTTTTGGTTTTTTTTTTTTGGAAGAAAGATTGGATAATCTTTTGCAAGATTTGAATGTCCTCTTCTAATGCTCTCAATTGTATATCTTGTGGTTTTTTTTAAATTTGAAGATTATATAAAACATGTCTATTCTTGCAATAGTTATAAATATGTAATATAATTATTTACCCAGAGCTATTGTCTTTTAATTATACCAGAAATATACATAGTGTGTTAAACTGGATGTTTCATATGTGGTTTTATTTACTAAAGAAAATTTAAACCTTGTTATACTTAAACCCTCATATATATGAACATGCTTAAGAGAAATATTTATTACAACCTTGCTAGTAATAAAGAATTTCAAGCCGGTCTTTGGTTATGTTTCAAGTATCACATGGCCTTTTGTTTGATTTTTTTTTGTTGTTTTTTTTTTGTTTGTTTTTGTGCTTCAGTGTTTTTAAAACCTAAAATCAATATTGGACCCAGAGGCTTTCTGCATGATTATTTTATTAAAAGAAAGAAAAAATTGGTGCTATTAATGAATAATTAATACTAATGAAGTCACATATACAAGCAATAGACGTACAATTGTTAGGGTTTTGAGAGGTTTTGTCTGTGAATGTTTTAAGTATTGCAGTGAAGCAGAAGAAAGCAATCAGTGGGGTGTTTTTGCTCTTGTATTATTGTTCAGACTTAAATGTATTTAGCGTGTTTATTTCAGACAATGAAATTTAGCTAACACTCATTTTATTGCTGTCAAACTTCGTAACACTGACTGAAGTCAGACTCTCTCATCCTGTTTCTCAGCGAGTATTTATCAAGGTACCTACAACTTTGCTAACTTTTGTTAATATAGTATGTATTAATGTTTTGAAACATTAAAGGAGCTCTGCTACTTCTAAAATAAGGAAAGCCCTTTGTGTGTCTAAGGGCAATGTGGAAACTAGAAAAACCCAAAATCTGTGTTCTTTTTTAGCACTTCTTGTGGATTGTTGATGATCTTGTTTGCAGGTACAATGGACTAAAGATCAAAAAATAGGTTTTTTTAAGAAGTTCAGACAAAATTATGTAGTTTGTTCAGCAGTTACTTCCATTCTGCTGCAAAACAATTTGATGTCAATTTATGAATTGATGTGTGTTTACTTGATTTGTATGTTTATTTAATTAGGAATTAAAAGAAACCCAACACCACCCTACCCCCATCCCCCTTAACACCCACCACAACACCAAAAAACCTCTCTAGATCCTGGAGCCTCTAAAACAGAAGTACTGTTGCTTGAATACCTGTTCTGTTCAAGTATGACAAACCTGGGCTCCCAGAAGAGGGTTCTGGAAGAGGTCTGACCCCAACGACAGCTCTGCTGGGTTTTGACCAGCTTGCTCCCCTGGAAGCTCTGCTCCGAATGTGCTTTGCTTTCCCTAGAGACTCGCTGCTGTGCCAAGCAGGCATTTGCTCTCGTACCTGTGCCACACACTGGCTGTTAGTAAAGCAGCGACATCTTCTGCAGAGAGACAGTCTGCATTGCCCTTTGAGTGGGCTGTGAGAAAATCAGCTTCCAATGGTCTCTGAAAACAGCCTGTTCCTTGTGGTTAAAGAAATAGCTGCTTTGTGGCTTTTTGGTTTTATTTCAGTCTCCTTTATTAAAAATTAAAATGCCTGATTGTGCAACTACAATTTCAAAAATAAGTATTAATGGTGACTTGACTTCTGTAAAGGGTTGATTGCATGTATAGATACTTTGGGGGTTACTGTGTTTTTTCAACAGTAAATAAAGTGATCATTTTCAGAGGAAATAGCTCATTTTTTGTCTTCGGCAGCATACAGAGCCAGGCTAAATCAGAAAGTAAAATCTCAACTGCTATAAAGCCGTCAAAATACGTACATTTCACACTGATATACGTGTCTGAAACATGGCACAGGCGCTTTCCAGTTGAAAAAAATGCCATGAAAAGGAACAGAAAATCTGGAAAGCCTAATGAAAAGGGACAGCCCGGTTTTACACAGTCTGGCAGGAGGATAGCACTGTCCTGAGATTAGGGGATTGAGCAAAAAGCCGGCATGCAGAATTGTGGGGTTTTATATAATGGCTTTAGTAAATATCCTTTAGGACCCAGTGGAAATGTTTGGTGAGGCAAACTTCGTGAGTAATGGCCAATCATTAAGCGGTGATGAGGGAAAAGCTTTGAGTGAGAAGCCCTTGGAAGCCTGTCGGAAACATCACGTCGGGAAAGCAGCATTTCTGCCACTGATTGCCGGCGAACGCACGACGCCAGAGTTTGAGTTGATTCAATGTTTAAACCCGGGGGGACTTGTGCTGCAGGAGGTTACTGGAGTGCAGAGTGCCCGGCTCCTGTTTCCAGCAAGATGCCTTATTTTGCAAAACTCCTTTTATTCATCTTTTGCTTAGTTCTTCTTGTGGAAAGCAGAAAACACAGGAGGAGGAGGTGGACAAGCCAGCTGGAGGTGCAGAGGGCAAGGTAAGGGTTGTCGAAACACAGATGTTTCTTTTCCTGGAGTGTTATAAACACATTGCTGCGTAGACATAAAAATCCGTCCTGTCAGTGTCTTTGTGTATATTGTGTGTGCAAACAGCTTTATAGATAATGTTTTTATAATAGTCTCTGATAGTACAATCAGTTTTAACTGTAAACGGACGCATTCAATGGTAATGTTAATTAACTCTTAATGAGGCAGGTTTTGCAGGCAATTTGACCGCTTCAGCATGGGTTGTGGTAAAAATATTCTTAGACCTATATGTGAATTACTGAGAGAATTCAGAGATGTTGCAATTAATAGAGACGTTCAAATCTACATGTTGTTTCAGTACTGTTTCAAGAGCAGTCTCAAGGTTATTTACTCTGCTTGCTGGAATGTCTGTGCTACTTATGTTCGCTTGAAATTGCATGTTATTCTCTAACAATTTGAGGTGGGGATGTTGGTTAGCATGCATTATACTAATTAATTACAAATAAATCTCTGGAAGTTACCCAGGGATTGTAAAATTTTGAAAAAACACATGGAAACTTTAAAAAAATATACATTTTGAAGTCAAGCAAAGGCCCAAGAAAGAGTTAAAGGTCTTAGTACAGTTTATTAGATTTACTGTTGCTGAGATTTGACCGGAGGTTTACATTAGAAAAGATAATCTTCCAAACCTGTCAGGCAGTCCAAAGTATGTTATCCTTTTTTGTAGTTATGTCATCCCGTGGCAGTTACATCTTACAAGACTGTTCATTGTTCGAAGGGCTCAAAAGTAAAATTGGGTTAATCCATCTTATTAAATGGCTTCACTGTGGCTGTAAACTTTCATATTTTCATTTATTTTGTTGGGTGTTTTGGTTTAACACCTAACGCTTTTATAGGGGATGTTGTTACTTGAACGTTTGACAAAGAAATGTGATATAATTGAAAGCAGAGAATACCTAATATGCTCTCAGATTTATACTACTCATTGAAAAAATACAGTAGCATATGCTTTTAGTGACGTAAATCTTATAAAGCTGAAACAGCTAGGGCCTGATCCTGAAATCCTGAAGCCAACTGAAGTTTTACCACCGATTTCCACAGAATGTCTGTTGCTGAATAAGAACTTTCATTTCACTCTGAAAATTTTTCCAAGCCTATGTTTTGGGAAATGCGGGGGATTCAACAGTAACATTTTCTTGCAAACCATTCACATGTAGTAGAGACCATCTACTTTGAAGTAACAAAATAGTATAAATCCTTCTTTTAAACGTGACTTTGCCCAAAACTAGTGCCATTCTCTCGGTTAAAAGTTGTTTGAATATCTTCTATTTCATTTAAACATTGCAAAAATAATTTACAATTTCTACAGCGCCATTATTTTTGTGAAGCTGTGATAGAGTGGAAGTCAAAGCACTGCTAAAATTGTATAAATTACTTTACTGTAAAGAATAATTGATACTATTTGGTTTCCTGTGGAATAATGATTTTAATGAACAGTTTTCCAGCCAGGTAGAACCTGAGGAACAGGTGTATATATATACACACATATGTATAGGGGAGTGTGTGTATATATCTATGTATACACACATATATGTATTTCCTATGCAATGTGCTTACTTAAGAGTATATAAAAACAAGTTTTAGGGACTATCAAATGTGATTGAAATTTTAAATACAGAGAAATCTGCAATAGTCAAAAGAAAAGTGTATGGAGCAGTGACACTGATATTTTAAATTTCCAGTTCTATAGGAAAAATATAGTTGTTTCTAAACCAGCAATGACTAGTGGACCCTTCTAGTAAAAGGAAATTAAAACCAGTTCCTGTGCTGGTTTTCTAATGATGTAAAAGAAGTGAAAACACTGTCATTTTTAATAATTTCATCACATTTTCTGCTTACTATTTCTCTTGCTAACTTACCGTAAGAAATACAGCAAATTTTG